CCCTGAGGGGGGGCGATAGTGGGGGCTTTAGAGTGGCAGCCAATATCCTCCCAGCCTAGCCACAGAATTAGAGATCAAACTCTGGATTAGTCAATGTTCTTTATGCATTCAGAAGGAAGTAAAGAATATGAATTGTCCTATTTTAGACAAAATTTTTTTATATATTTTCAAATGATTTTAATTTCTTCACAATCCATATACTCATTGTAAAGGTAAGGGTTTTTTCTTAAATTTGAACTTTCGATCACATCATCTTAGTTTTAATTTACTTTTAAAAGTTTAGTATTTAGTTTAGTTAACTTTGTCTTTCAACTGATTTTTAATTAGTATTTACTTGTCACTTAATATTCAAACTTCACACTTTACTTTTTTTATTTTTAAAATTGTACTTTACATTATAATCTTAAGGACTTATTTACAGGCATTTCCAATTTCCCCGTGGGATTGATATCTAGGACTCCATTAGAGCCATTTATTACTTGAGCGATATGTATACTTACATTATTTTTAAAGGGGATTTGGAAGTTAAAAGATATTTAAATAATAAAACTATTTAATTGAAGTTATTTTGTTGTGATTAATTTGCATGTTTGCTATTGTATATGTTGTGTGTAGTTTGTAATATTGAAAAATGTTTGCAAAATTAACACACTAAATCCACCCGCATCGAGTTTTTGTCTTCGTTGCTTAGGAAATAACAGAAAGTAGTGGTAAATTATTTTATAATTTATAGTATTTTTATTTTAAAAATTAAAAAAAAGATTGCTTGTAGTTTAGTACTGACATTTTCTTATTTAAGTGTGTTTGCTTTTTTTTTTAATTACTTGCTTTATTTTGCTATTACTTGCTTTATTTTGCTTATGCGTAGTGTAAGATCTGAAAATTTAGTACCTTAGAATTCTGAACTAGAGAGAACTATTACAAAAAATTGAAAATAACAAAAAGAGAAAAGTAATGTTGGAAATGAAAATGAACATCATCTGAGACCTTTAAAAGATTATGTTAATCCTACACCAGATGAAATTATACAACCGATAAAATTCATTTAAGTATACAAAACTCTGTTGTAGCTACCAATTCACCATTTGAACTTAAAACTGCTATTAACCAAATGGTACATAACAATTAGTTTGGAGGAACACCTACTGAAGATCCTAATTTACACATTGCTAGTTTTTCAGAATTGTGTGCTAAATTTGAATATGATTGAGTGTCAAATGATGTCGTTAGACTTAGACTTTATTTTTTTCACTAAAGAATAAAGCTAAGACGTTGTTAAACTCATTAGCACCTGGATCAATCAGAACATGGGGAGATTTATCACCAAAATTCTAATTTAAATATTTCCACCTTCAAAAACTGCTAAACTTAGAAATGATATCATATATTTTTGTCAGTTTGAAGGGGAATCAATTTCTGAAGTTTGGGAAAGATTTAAAAATCTCTTTAGAAAGTGTCCAGACCATGCATTGCCAGATTGGTTAATAATTCAAACTTTTTATAAGGGGTTGGTTGGATCTCTTAGATTGATAATTGTCACTATTTTTGGTGGATCATTAATGTCAAAACCATTTGATGAAGCATATTCATTAATTGATGAGATGGCTACCAAAAATATTTTATGGCCCTTTGAAAGGGAAAATCCAAAAAGAGTAGCTAGTTTTCATGATTCTGATGCAATATCTATGTTAGCTGCCAAATAATTGTTATATAAAAAATCATAGATCAATATGGAATGAATTATTCTGAGACAGAACCTGTGTTTGAGAAAAACTTATTGGGAAAAATTATAGAATCTTAATATTCTTATGAGACCTTAAATGCAATAAAAAATTGTTCTAATAACCCTTAGGCCAATTGAAGAGATAGATAATTTTAGTGGAATGCTTGCAACTTAAGTAATTTTAGAAATGAACATCATTAGAGACCTTTATGAGATTTTGTTAATCGTATAGCAGATGAAATTCATTTGAGTATACAAAACTCTAGTGTAGCTGCCAATTCATTTGAGCTTGAACCTTTTATTATCTAAATGGTAGAAAATAATTAGTTTGGGGGAACACCAACTGAAGATCCTAACTTACACCTTATTAGTTTTCTAGAATTGTGTTCTACATTTAAATATGATGTAGTGTTGAATAATGTCATCAGACTTATACCTTTTTCTTTTTCATTAAGAGATAAAGCTAAGATGTGGTTAAACTCACCTAGACCTATCATAACTTGGGGAAACCTATCAAAAAAATTTTTATCTAAATATGTTCGTCCCTAAAAAACTGTTAAGCTTAGAAATGATACTATATTACTTTGTCAGTTTGAAGGGGACTCAATTTATGAAGCTTGGGAAATATTTAAGGATCTCCTTAGGAAGTGTCCACACCATGCGTTTCTAGATTGGCTGATAATTTAAACTTTTTATAATGTATTGGTTGGATCTCTTAGGTCAATAATCAACGCTGCTATTGGGGAATCATTAATGTCAAAACCATTTATTGAAACATATTATTTAATTTAAGAGATTGTAACTAATAATTTTTGATGGCCCTCTAAAAGGTAAATCTAAAAAGAGTAGCTAGTATTCATGATTCTAATGCAATATCTATATTGGATGCCCAAAAAGCTTCTATATTAAAGAAGATAGATCAATATGGAATGAATTAGTCTCAGACAACACCTACGCAT